AGGACGAAAGCTTAGCACCTTTTCAACGTAATCGAAGGAAATTACCTCGGAAAGAGCGTCAGCATGAATGTTCCAGTAATGCTAATCGACAGCTGGTAAAGCGAAATCGGCCGTCGTCTTTTGGTGGAATCGACCTTCGAATCTCTTCACCAAACACTTTTACTCTAAATGGAAGTAAGCACAACAAGTATGTAGCTAGGCAGCAGAAATAGAAGAGAGAATATTTTTAAGCGATAATAAAATCGTGTTGAACAGAGAATTGGTCAAGGGGATTGCCTTCATTTGTCATTTTATTAAGTTGTAACTCTGTGCCTACGATGGCGCCTCTCACTGGCGATGCCGGCAAAACGCCTGGAAATGTACTCAGCCAATGATCCAATGCTGGAAATCACGAATACTATAGCAGAAGACACAGGACAAGGTACGTTCCACAAGGTCTCCCTTATGCTCCGACCAAGTTCCGAAAACAAGATCGAAATAACAAGATAAAATTACAACTATGAGAATTAAGCATACAATCACTCTTTAAATTTGTGACTTAACCATTAGCTTTTTTGAATCTTTCTATATTGATGATTTGTTTGATATAAAATTTACAAAACGGGGTTTTTTAAAAAACATATTTAGCCAAATTCTTTATTTTCATATTTTGACGTTGATATAAGATGGTACCAAAGGGGTTGTTTTCAAAAGTACAACGTTTCGAAGATGAGCAAATACTAGGTTTACCGTGTAATTGTATTATTTATTACATTTTGAATATTTTCTTATTAAAATATCAGTGATAAACACTTTATCATTAAGTCTACCACTAAACTAATAATTTTGAAAAATTTTCCAGCTATTTTACCATTTAAAATTGCAATGTTTGTTTTGTCTTTCTCTTCCTGTGATTCGTTATTACTCGTACTGTGTGCTCGTTGTGAAATATTGACACTAAATTAACTTAATTCTGTCGATTGGCTTTACTGGTAGATTCATACTGACGCTGTTTCCGAGGTAATCCTCTTCGATTCCAGTAAAAAGGTGCTAAGCTTTCGTCTGTCATATGACGAACATTATCAGAGAAAGGCATCATCATCACAACCAAATTCAAGATAACGAGTCAAGAAAACTCACCGGCAAATCCATAAAAAGTGGTATATATACTCTATATCTGGCCTCTGATCAAGTATAAAGTGATTTGGTTAATTACGGTTATGTGTCAACTTCAAGGCCTGTGAGTGTGTCTGTCTTTGTATATGTATGTGTCTGTTTGTGT